GGTTCCAAATCAGTGAACAATAGCGAACTACATTTGTGTTATTCAATGAGATTTAAGGAACTACATAGATAATACTTGGTCAAACAATAGCATAATTTGAATGTACTGTTCTTTTTGAATTCTGGCTTTAATGGCTTTGAAGCTTATGCATAAAAAAATAATTTAATTAGCAGGCAGAGCCCTAATTTGGATTATAAGATATTCAGTGCTTGTATAACAATATCCTTTTATCAAGAAATAATAAAACATTGTAATTATGCATGATGGAGGCTTAAGTTCTATTGCTTTAGGTGCATTGATATAGTATAGTGTGTTGGGTTTTTTTCGGTACAGTGTGAGAATAAAAATTGACTTTATAATTGCTAAAGTTCACTTAATAGTAAAACTGTTTTCATTTTGTAAGGAGTCAATCACTGAAATGGAAGATGACTTCTTGGATAAAGTACTAATTTCATTTCACTTAAAGATGTTGATTGCAAACCCACTATGAAACGATATGAAATGCATGATTATTTATGGTGAAATAACAATCAGTTACATGAATCCTAAATGTTTTCCACCTGCAGTAGGTTGTAATATTTTATGATATGGGTATACAGTTCCCTTGAAAACTAACAGGAATTGCACATCCACATTTTTCTGGGATGTTTTGAAAATCTCAGCCCCTCTTTATATGCACTCGACTTCAGCTGTCTACGTCAATACATGACTAACAGTATGCAGTCCATAAGTATTATGCAGAAAGTATACATGGATAATTTTTCACACAGATACTGGGAGAAATATGGATAATGTACTGTGATACATGTGAGGGAAAATTTAGGTGATGATATAATACCAAGGGTGTAAGGAAACAAGGGTTTAAAGTGTAGTGTTGATTCTTTGTAGTGCACTGGTAATGTGTGGGAAGCTGTATGGATATAAGCAATGATTAAATCATTGGACCATGTGGGATACAGAAAATTAATACACATGAATAGAATAAGATATGATGCTGTATGCAAAGTGAACATTAGTCCTGTAAAATACACAATTGTATATACAAAATGAGAGAGTTTTTTGGGTTTTTTGTTTACAAATATCCATTCACATATGCAAATGTTCTAAGAAAGCATTTGTCAACTTAGCAAATTGTGGGACATTTTTTGGAAGTAAAGGTTAGATACAAACCTTTAAAATGTGATTGCTTTAATGAAATGCACATATCTTTGTTTAGCAACAATTTTGTGTTTATATACATTTAGAGTAAAAATCTAAAGGATTCAGCAGAAACTAAGCACCTAAAATTTTCTATGCAAATACCTAAAATTCAATGCAAGATAGTATTCGTCCTTCCAGAAATGCTTTAAAAAAATCACAGAAGCGGTTTATTTTTTGAATCCTTATGAGTGAGAAACTCTGACATACTACAAAATTGCTCATATTATTAGCTTAATGTATAGATCTGAAATAATTTTAATTGACGGCTTTATTCATTTTTGTATTGTTGGGGAATAAATGGAAAGAAATCTGTGAACTTTATTCAAGAAAACACTGCTACTTCTCTAACAGACAACTGCAAATGGGCGTGAGTGTCTTGTAAGCCACCTTCTCCCCCTGCATCTGGCTGGAAATCCCGGTGCCTTAGGTAATCAGCATTTTTAGATTACCCGCAATTCTCCATGCACGCCAAAAAACAGGGCTTTTACTATAATTGTGAACAGTTATGTTGTATGGAAAAGGCAGGTAAAGCTTTTGTTCTGATGACTGTGTGAGCAGGCCATTGCTAGATTAAACATGCAGGTCAGCGCTAGATCAACATTTGGTCATGGTGACTAATATATCATGGTGAGATACTTTTTTAAATAATGGAGCTATCTGGGAAGAAAATGAATGTATTACTGTGCAGATCCTATCAATACTTTAAAAAAGCTAAACATAACTGCGCTTACATGCACCAAAATACCAAAAATGCACAGAGGAATATATATACTTGAAAAGATAGTTAAATTTTTTGCAAAAAAAAATTATCTATGAATATTTTGAGTAAAAACCCTTTTAGGCAACAAAAAGGTAAGAAAATCCAGTGAATATTACTTACTTGCTTTATAAATCAGGTATATGCTTAGTAATAAATAGGCAATGGCAGTGACAGGTATAATTAACATAACCTTTGTCCCTTATAAACGCTTCTCCCTATATATTTTCAAACTTTCAGAAACATTTTTTTTCTAGAGAAAGATGTTGTAGATTCATAGATGTTAGGGTCAGAAGGGACCTCAATAGATCATCGAGTCCGACCCCCTGCAGAGGCAGGAAAGCGTGCTGGGTCTAGATGACCCCAGGTTTAGACCAGTTTCTGATCACTTATACTGGTTTACATGTCATTTCTGTCCCTATCCATAGACAGATGCATATCACCCATCAATGATCTCCAGTAACCTTGTTTTTTAAATAATTTTCTAGGCCCATGTGACCTATTGAAACTCTTGGCAATCTATAGACGACATAGACATCTGTTTTGGAGACTGCGTGCTTTGGGCAAGGTCCATGGCTGTCAGACCGCCTGCACCATTCAAGCTGCTTGTATCACATAACTGACATTAAAACAAATTTGTTCACAGGAAAACAAGCGTGGCTCCCCAAGTGTTTCAGAATGGGAAAAGTAGACAGCTAATGAAGCAACTCAGGAATTAAAGACTCGTTATTACAAGGCTACTGCTGAAAAAGAAGGCCTGGTTATAAAGGATCTTCACGTTGTATTTGCTCTTCCATGTCCTGCATGGCAAAGTCCAGCTGGGCTAGGGTTCAGGCCAGAAGCAAGCCAGTACAAAGGTCCACCCTGTACTTAAAAACTAGTGCCTAGCATGGGATAAACACACCCAGGCAAGAGTGATTTAGGCACATGGTAGCAACCTGACAAGATCATTCCCCTTCCCCATGATTCACTTTGTGGCTAATGATGGCATAGAGCCTCTCAAACTAGTTTCTGGCTTGATGCAACACCATCCATCTCCAGCGCTTGCCTCTTCAAGCTCCCTCAAAGCACGGGACAGAGTCCATCAGCTAATGGAGATACAGCCTGTTTTACCTTTACTCCAAACAGAGCTACTTTAAAAAAAGGATGACAGCGAGGAAAGCAGAGGGAAGGAGACTAGTCAGCTCCTCCTGTAGCAAACGGGCGCTGCCCGAGTGCAATGCCTGCAGCCTTCGTGCTGTTCCCGAAGGACGGTACCCAGCTATTTTGTAACCTGGTCATAAAAAGAGACTAGATTAGTCAGGCATGATCTACCTGCTATGAACCCGTGCTGGTTTCCCCCAGCATAATTTTTCCTGCCAGGCTCTCGCAAATGTGAGTCTTGATAATTTTTTCAAAGACTTTGCCAAGGATGGAGGTGAGACTGACTGGCCTATAGTTGCCTGGGTCCTCCTTCCTCCCCTTCTTGAAAATGGGGACCACATTGGCCCTTTTCCAGTCCTCCGGGACCTGGCCTGTGCACCCCGAGTGTTCAAATATTCCCGCCAGTGGCTATGCAATGACGTCAGCCAGTGCCTTCAGTACCCTTGGATGGAGCTCATCCAGGCCTGCCGACTTAAACGCATCCAGTTCCTCCAAGTGCCTCTGCACCATCTCAGGGTCTACGCTTGGTAGTCTGGCGTCCTGCTGCTGCCAATAGCATAAATGTTGCAATAAATAGTAGTAATAAACTAGTAGCATAAATAAATTAATAAACTAAATAAACTAGTAGCATAAATGTTGGGCAAGTTGACTGTAAATTTCTGTTGCAAAATATGAGTGCACAGATAAACGAGTGGGATATACTGACTAATACTGCCTAAAGTAGGCCTGGAGCATACTCCTATGTGTAGATCATTTTTAAAAAGAGTGACATTAGAAAAGAAGACCAGTGTTAAACTAGCCTGTTTGACCTGGCCAAGAGCAAAAGCTGGGAAATTGTATATTAATGCTGCAGAAAGGTCCTTTGAGCTTGCCTTGCTCTGCACAAGTTTTGAAACATTTCTATAAGGGACATGTATTCCATAATGAATTTAAAAAGATGTTTAATACTTCAATACACAGTAATTCCCACATCATAAATAAAAATCACCCACTGTTCTAAAATCTATGGTGAAAAATATAGTGGAGAGTAGATCTTTAGCTGGTATAAAGTGTGAAGACTCCACTGAAGTGGATGAAGCCATGGCAACTTTGCCTCAGCTAAAGATCTCTTCTCCTGTATTTGTGCCTAGTGGGAAGAGTTAAGAATACCATAGTCCTACATTTGTTAAGCT